GACGTCAGATTTCTGATTTGGAAGGGATGTTGCAGAAGGAGAAACAAGAATTTGAGGTATGAGTCAACGAATTAGACTTGTGAGTAGGGTTCAGTGATCACTAATTGACCATTGTTTAACCTACATGGTCCTGCAGACATCATTAACTACTCTCTCCCTAGCACTACTTCTCTGTGCTTGTTGGATGTTGACTACTGGTAATTACACTTAAGTGCTCCACTTGTTTTTTCTTGAGTGACCAGTAACCTCTCTGACAAATAGGTCTATATATAATTCCCTATGTCAGTTTGATTGCGGTTTTATAACCTTGTCATGCTTGGGGAATACAAACTGTGGTGATATTATCTTCTCTGCTGTCTGTGTTGCAATCTGTCTACTGACACTCTCTGATGCATCAGATATTGTATTGCTTGTTTTCATTGTTAACGATTTGCATTGTTGAGCTTAACTTGTGTGTCTTGATCTTAGAGGATATTTCTAATCCGCTTTTGATATTAGCAGGAATCTCTCCAGAGAATTCTGATGGAGGAAGTGAAAAAGGGGCAGTCTGTTGATATTTTGGAGATCAATCGATTGAGAAGACAGCTCCTTTTTCAATCTTATGTTTGGGACCACCGTCTAGTATATGCAGCCAGTATGGATGACAAGAGGCATTGGATTAATGGAGATGTCACCTCTTTGGAACCTGAGAAACCGTTGGTTTGTGATGATAAGTTCACTGATCTGGATAATTGTGCTGATCCCAGCAAATGTCCTAATAGCTCTGAATCTGTTCCTGCAATTTTAAAGGCTGGTGAAAATGGGGATGAACAAAGAAGTGTTTGCCAAAACAGTCACATGGATGCTGTTCATCAAGAATCTGCAGTTGATTTTGATGCTGATTGTGCAATCGAAAACCCACCTGGTCTTCCTGTTGCAACAAAAAGTTTCTGCGGATCACATCCAGAAGAATCTATATTACAGCGGCGAAGAGCACTATCCGCTGGGCAGTTCCCAAACATGGAGAGTTTGTCAGATACTCTCGAGGCAGCTTGGACTGGTGAAACAACTTCCGGTGTTGTAGTGATAAAGAGTGATACCTGTAAATCTTCTGAACCACTTCTGGTGAATACATTGACAACTGGAATGGCGGAAAAAGTGTACACTGAAGACCATGGGACTATGCTGTCTCAATCTCCTTCTCTGTTAGCCTCTAAAGGCTCCGAAAACATGGAAGACTCTGGGAGCTGGTTAGGTATGCCTTTTATTAGCTTCTACCGGACTCTGAACAAAAACTTTTTACCAAGTGCTCAGAAACTGGATCCACTTGGGGGATATAATCCAGTATACATTTCATCATTTCGGGAATCAGATGCCCAAAGTGGAGCAAGATTGCTCCTACCTGTTGGGGTTAATGATACTGTTATACCAGTGTATGATGATGAGCCCACCAGTATTATATCTTATGCACTAGCGTCTCATGATTATCATGCTCAACTATCCGATGAGCTTGAGAAATCTAAGGATGCTTCTTTGGACTCTAACTTTTCGTTCCACTCACTGGATTCCAGTAATCTGCACTCCCCTCAATCATTTGATGAAATGGTTTTAGAATCCTACAGAAGTCTTGGATCTATGGATGAGAGTCTCTTGTCCTTGCCCATTTCTCGCAGCTCTTTTGATTTGGATCCACTCTCATACACAAAGACACTGCATGCCAGAGTTTCTTTTGGAGATGATGGATCGCTGGGGAAAGTGAAATACTCAGTGACTTGTTATTATGCAAAGCGCTTTGAAGCCTTGAGGCGGATATGTTGTCCTTCAGAGATGGATTTCATAAGATCTCTTAGCCGCTGTAAGAAGTGGGGGGCCCAAGGAGGCAAGAGCAACGTTTTCTTTGCTAAAACCTTGGATGATCGATTTATTATCAAGCAAGTGACAAAGACAGAGCTGGAATCATTTATGAAATTTGCTCCTGAATATTTCAAATATCTTTCTGAATCAATAATCACGGGGAGTCCAACTTGTTTGGCAAAAATTCTGGGGATCTATCAGGTATTTGTAATAAGTTGACTACTTCAGCTTCTCAAATTGCTGATTTAGAATTTACAAAGCTCTCTGTGACTAGACTCGCAGCACAAATAATGATCTGATTGCTGTGAATTATGAGGCAAATTTTAGTTATGCTCTGGGGAAACATGATTGATATGATGGATTCTTGATTAATGGGTTGTGAAATTAGTATTTACTTTCTTTATGGCCTTCTAACTCTAAAGCCAGATGATATTATATCCTTTAGGGGTCGTTTGGTTGGGAACAAGTTATCCCAGGATTAGTTATCATTATGATATAAAGGGTGGGATAAGTTATCCCAAACACGACAACCAAACAAGATACAAAATTTTTACCCCATCATTATTTTCTTATCCCATCACTATTTATTTTTATCCCTCACACCAAACGACCCCTTAAGGTGATATTGATTAAAAGCATGACCTTCTAGGTGAATGAACCACAAAGCATGGGGTGCATATTTCTTGCTGCAGTATTTGGATGTAGTTACCGATATAACCAGTTCATTATTTTTCTTTCTGTGTATTCTGGCTAGTCATAGCACACATATTGTATAATTTTATTATTATCAGTTCATTTAGAGTTTTTATTTCTATTGGTTTCTGTGAAGGTGTCATCAAAACAGCTTAAAGGAGGAAAGGAATCTAAAATGGATGTGCTAGTTATGGAGAACCTTCTATTTGGGAGGAAACTGGCAAGGCTTTATGATCTGAAAGGTTCTGCAAGGTCTCGTTACAATCCTGATTCCAGTGGAAGCAACAAAGTCTTGCTGGATCAGAACTTGATTGAATCAATGCCAACTTCACCTATTTTTGTTGGAAACAAAGCAAAAAGACTTTTGGAGCGAGCTGTATGGAATGATACTGCTTTTCTTGCTGTAAGTTTTTGTGCTTACATTTAATGAATTTACTGTCGACTACTTGCACCTATTGTGGTTGGATCATGTAACAGTTTCTTGTCTGCGATGGTCCATCAAAGCTTTGTAAGTTGGGATTGCTGTAGATTGAAGCATTTCCAACCCGTAAGATTCTCATATCTATTCAGAACAAGTTAGTTTGTGTTTGGTACTAGGATTGGGTGTGGAAGAGGGAGGGGAAAAACACCTTTGTTAATCATAAGGAGTTGAGCAATTGATGACGGTCCAGCAGAATCTGGGGGGTGTTTGAGACTCAACGAACCTCATCATTCCCTTCCCAATTTCCACACCCAAAACTAAATAAGTAAAATAGATTAGATTATGACGGGAATAGAGAGGAGATTTGGGTTCAATCCCTCCAAATTCTTCCATTGCGCAAAAAGATTAAATTGGGGATGGTCACTTTAACCTTCACTTCTTCTCCAGATAAGGATTCAGATGCTTGCCTTTCCCAAAGCCCATCATCTTCGTCCTACATAAACCACAGTTTGGGTGCCAAGAATGGAAAGGAAAGAGCTAGAATATTTAAATGTCCACTGTTCTTCTTGTGTGCTTGATAGTAGGAAAGGGGTGAGAAAGTGGTTAAAATATTTTTTACTAGAAACAATATCCTCCATAGCAAATCAGTCCTTCAAAAAAAAATGCAGATCCTGGAGGGAAGTGTCAAGTATCCTTTCATTTCAAATACAGACATACAAGAAAATTTGTTCCTTTCCTATTTTACTTTGCTTTTCTCAAGAAGAGAAACTTTTTTTTGACATCTAACTGAAAACCATTATGCTGTTGTATATGTGTTACATTTTCTTATAATCAGCATATAAGTGTATACTCACTTTCTAACAAATTCCTTCTGTGGTCAAGGTTAGTGAGGTTCTTGACTAACCGAGTAAATTATCCTTGCAGGCAGTTGATGTGATGGATTACTCACTGTTGGTTGGGGTTGATGAAGAGAAGAATGAGCTTGTTGTTGGGATTATTGACTTCATGAGACAATATACGTGGGATAAGCACTTGGAGACTTGGGTTAAGGCCTCTGGGATCCTTGGTGGACCCAAAAATGCGCCACCGACCATAATCTCACCTAAGCAGTACAAAAAGAGGTTCCGAAAGGCCATGACCACCTATTTCCTGATGGTCCCTGATCAGTGGTCACCAACATCTGTTGTTCCCAGTAAGTCGCTGACTAATTTATGTGACGAGAACATGCAAGGTGGATGATCTGCCGAGTGAATTTGTTAATGCTGTTTGTCAGTATATTGAGCACATAAGTGGGTTTATTGCATTGGTTATCCCAGGTTCATACATCTGTAGTAGTTTCGGTTCCCATTCTTTTGGAACGCAATTCCAGTTGCGTTCTCCCTAAATGGGAGAACACTTGATTTCTTGTTGGAGAACTGTGAGGCTTGTATTTCGTTGAAAGTCTCTGCTGCTTAGAATTCAGGTGTCCCTCCGTGGATATAATGTTGTACATTTTTTTTTTTGTTTCATTAATTTATTTTTGCTTTTGTTGGGTAAAATTCAAGGTATACATGAGTTCCAAAGGATCAATGCCAATTTTATAGAATGCATGATTTTGGAACAGTTTAGCTGGTGTATCGAACTACTTTTTTTTTTTCCTCCAGTGTATTTTATTTTTTGTAATTGTAATATTTTTTCTCTGATTTCTACCCCGTTGGGTTGATGTCCATGTTCTTCTCTGTATAATCTTTAACGGAAACAGAGCTAATGGAATTAAGTTTTCAGATGGTGGACTTGTGGTCCAAATGGTTGAAGAAGTAATTGTAATGCATCTACCTATCTCATACTTAAATTCATAAAGCTTTAAACTGACCCAATCCAGTTGCAGTAACTTGTGTGTTATGAGGAAAAACAATGGGATACTTAATAATTGATACTATTTTACATTTTGAGCATGAAAAGGAAGGCCCTTTAAGCAGCATACACTACTGAACAAGTAAGGTGGGACTCTGGAACGAGTAATCCCTGTTTTATTGTGTTATTTGACAGTAGTATGAAAGTGATGAGATCGATCCTAACTGAACTCAGCAGAATCAGTTACATGAAGCCAGCATCTTTGCAGGAGCTCTATGAGTTCTTCATCTCTGCATATAGACATAATAATAAGTTACTTGTTCATCACACGATTATTATTATTATTACGTATACGTACCTTGAATTAGAACAAAATCTGGTGAGTTGTTGGCAGTAACGAGGGCCTTCATCATATCCTTCACAAGTGATCTCTCCATTCTCATCTCTATAACAAACTATCCCTGTTGACTCATCTTCAAATATCTATCAACAGTGAAAACAGATATCAGTAAACAATTGTAGTGAAAATTTATATGTTATTTTTTGACAAAGGAGATTCAATATAATATAAGATGAAGGAGGAAAAAAAACCTTAAGTTTTGGGGTTGAAGTTGATCTGATCTGAAGAGCAGTAGGTTTGATTGAAATATTTTGATCACTTGCACATGAGTACACCAACACTACTCTTTGTGCAGGATTTTCTCTTTTGTTGGAACATGATTTCTTCCAAATTAGAGGAGTAGCAGCAAAAGAAGAGTGTCTCACAGCCATAATTAGTATGGGAAAAAATAACAATGGAGGAACAAGGATGAGAAGATAAAATTATAAATGAAATGTTGATTGTTCTATACAGTATTTAATAAATTAAACCAAACTAATTAAGGCCTTGTATTAATATTAAAGTATTCGAATGATTTGATGTTAATCCTTGGGTTTTTGTTTGTAAGCTAAAGAGGATGATATTAATTATTATATTATTAATATACGGGAAACTAATATTGGGTGTTTTGTCAATTGTCACGATGCATTATCTAATTATATAGATTTCAAAGGGGGAAGTGGGACCTATCAGCATTATCTTCAAACTACTACTATTTAATGTATTGTGTTGGTATATTTATAAGGGCTTATAAAGTCATTTGGTCAGTTGATTACATTTTTTATTTTCCTAGTTGATTGATTTATTTGTTGGTGGGTCTCTCATCCTCTCAGTGTGATAAGGTATGTTTGTCTCAATTTTCATGAAAACTAAAATAAGAAATTAAGAAGATTATGGGTGTTTTCGGTAAAAAAAAAATGTATTCCGTTAAAAATATTTTTTTTTTAAAAAGTAAGTGGTTTTTTTACATTAAAAAAAAATTCTAAAAGAATTTACGTATAATTAAATAAATATTACTTATGAGAGACGAGTGAAGATGAAGTGTGTTGAAGAGTGAGGAGAACATAATTAACAGTTAATGTTTGATGTCGCTTATATAACCTGTTTCTACTTTCATTTGGAAAGTTATACCCCCCACCCACCCCAAAAAAAAACTTGTTTTTAGAGAAAAAATATTTTTGAAATTATTTAACCAATCTAAGATGGAAAAACTAAAAAAATATTTTTTAATAAACAGGAAAGAAACATATATTTATTAATAATAAGAAAGAAGTCTATTTATGACTTTTTCTATAACTATAACATAAAGATTTTTGTTAATAATAATGGAGCAAAGTCAGAGTACTTGGAGATCCACAAGGAGAATTGTGTTTTATCCCTTATATATTGAATTCAAATTAATAGGATTAATGAATTTTAGATACAGATTGATTAATTAAAGTAACACTTAAAGAAATGACAACTTTGTTTTTTTGAATGACTAGTTTCGATTGATTATTCCCAATAAAGTGAGATTAAAATGTATTATCTCACTGATATGTTTTTTTCTTTTATAGTGAGGTTTCCCTTTATAGTTGTTATCTCGAAGTTGATAGTCCCACACTTAATACTTGTTTATCATTTATTTTCTGAGAAAAACAAGGAAGTCAAATGTAAAATTTCAGTATGAAACAACTCTATTAGCACTACTATAATTTTAATTAAGCATTTTATTAATCTTTTGTGGCTTCTCATACAATCAGAAGCCAATACAATCCTTTACGTTATCTCAGAAGCATCTTTTGGTTGAAAGAGGAAACGTGTTGGACCTATATGTAATTTCAAGTTTAACTATCAGATTAGTAAAAAAAATCATGTACTTAGTAACACTCCGTAAAAACTGGAATTTATAAATAAAAAGCTTTCGCGGTTCATCCAACCTCTTTTCCACTAAATAAGGTAGAAGATATTTTTATAAACAAACAACTTCTTAGAAATTATGCAAATGTATGTTAGTTTTAATACAACAAATCAGAAATAATATCAAAATAATTTAATCTTTACATAATTAATCTCAACATAAATTGACTTCAAACTAAACAACCCGTAAGAGTGACAAATAAGCCTATAAAAGCAATAGTTGCTCAACCCGTCCATTTATTACTCAATTTACTTTAATTTGTTCAACTCAATTTATTTAAAAGTTAAGTTAATATATAATCCAAACTGATCAATATACGAAACCTTATCAGCTCAAGTAACATTAAAATCATTTAACATCCGCCTATTTATTATCTCAATTCATTTCATTTTAACCCGTTCAAATTTAACTCAATCCATTATTATTTTGTTTCGAAACATAGAAATAGAGGATCAGCTCATGCTAAATAGGGGATAAAGTAGTACGTGGTGACAAAAGCCCAAGGAAGGGCCCCGACATTCCTTTCAATTTTTTGGTTTACTAAAACAGTACCTTACTGTGTTTTAATAGTACTAACAGTTGGATTAATTATGTTAACATTAACACCTAATAAGAGAGACAAAAAGTTTTGCTTTGCACTACGGTAACAATAACACTTTACTAGGAGTATTTTTTTTTTAACCTTTAATTATTCAGTCTTAGGAGCATGAGCCCACCCTACAACACAATTTTGGGCTTTAATAATAACATTATCAATAACCTTAAAAGACGCTTCCCATCTTCTTACATTATTACATATTGGAGTTATAAAATATCCATGAAATTTGTTCTTGTAATCTGAAGTTGTTGCTCATGTTTTTTTCTTTTTGATGGTATGAAAGTATAGAGAAGTTGGAGTGTGTAGTAGAGATTTCGGGTATAGGTTGGAGGGGGTTTAGACCATTTTCTCTTCAAATATATAAAAAAAAGTTAACAACTTCAAAAATTAGATGCAAGTTCTAAGCATTGCTATGCAAAAAAAAATATTATGAAAACTAATAATAGGTAATTTGGTAAAACTGATATTCTCTCCGTTGCAATTTACGTAGTCTACTCAATATTTAAGATTATTTTTAAAAAAAAATTTGCAGTCTAAAACAAATCATAAATCATCTCTATAGAGTAACATTAAACAAAAAGTTTAAAACAAAAAACAAAATAAAGGTCACTCTTTTAACATGTTAAAAATAAAAAGTATGTTACAGTAGTTGAGACATACGGACTAACTTGCTACATTATTATATTTTATATTAATAGGTCGCTAGGGAGTTGGTTTAGAATTTACATATGAGCCATGTAGATATTAAATATTGTATAGATATATTATGTTTGATAGTTGATTTGGAAGTAAATTATTCATATATAAAACTAATAGTGTTTAGTTTGCAATTTAAAAATCCGCATAACTATTACATATAAAATTAAAACATAGTTAACTAATTTATGCATAACTGATACATCATACATATATATAAAAATACATAAATTACTCATAATTAATTCATACGTTACTATATATATGCATAACTCTAGCGAGCAACCAAACGTCTCTTAATAGCATAAAAAAATGTTTAAAGGGTGCATATAACCTATGGTAAATCATACTAAAAAATAATCCATGATTTGATAATCCATCCATTTTATAACTTTGACGAACTTTTCTCGTCTCCCAAAGCATCACACACCTCCATGAGTTTTTTTTTTACAAGTACAAGTTTTTTGTTTGTTTTCTTCCTTGTCCTCACTAGTCCAGTACCAAACCAGGAAGGACTACAAACACTGTTGTTTCATTTTCCCTTCAGCTCTTCAACACAGGGCCTGAAACTCATCATTTTTGTATGTGGTCTTTGTCCTCTGCTTACCACTCCAATGCATGTTCTTCTAATACTTACCTAATATTCAACAGTTCTTCTGATGAACCTCCTGCTTCCTTTTGCATTGGCATGTTTTATTACTGTTCTCTACTTCACCTAAACTAAACTTTTCTTTAACATGTAGAAATTCCTCCAAAAATCTTACTGCATTTATATATGGATCTTGCAAGTGCTAACTACTGTGAACCTCCACCTCTGTTTCCATCTCAAGGGGTAAATGTTTCTAGATTGTTCTTTTATGTTTCTTGAATGATATTATGTAAATGGGGTTTCTTTTTATTGCTGATGATTCTTGATTTTGTTATTGACAGGAAGCAACATTAGAAGGGAAAAATGAGTACCCATTCTTGGATAGTTTCCCTGACCCGCTTTGCAAACTTAATCTAAAGGAGACATCTGATTTTGTGAAGTCATTGCCAACAGCAAGCAATGGAGCAGGGTTTTTAAGGAAAGAAGGAGTAAGTTCAGTGACAAGGAGGAATATGGATGCTCCATCAACACCGGGTCGACCCATTTTCAGCTTCAGTGTTGGGAATTTTTCAAGAAAAAATTTCCCTTCTAAGTGGGATGATGCAGAGAAATGGCTTGTTAATGGAAGTTCTATTCAAGATTCCCCTGCTTCTCATCATAATAGTAATAATGGCTTAAAGCCAGCATTAGAATCCTCAAAATTGTTAAAGCAGTGCAATGGGTTCAAGCTTAAAGAAACTGAAAATGTCTTTGCAGAAAAAAACAGAGTTACAGATGAAAAGGTATCTAAAGTAGCTTCAGATTTTCAGGTGCCTTTACCTTTACACCATCACCATATTTCTGCTGGAGCTGCCAACACTGTTTTTGCTGCAACTGATGTTTTTCTAAAAGGTAAAAAAAAAAAGGAGCTTGTTTTTACCCTTAGCTTTATCAATTACAGTTCAAGATTTAAACTTGATAGAAGTTTCAATCTTTAAGGGCATTAGCACTGACCTAATTGTACATGTTAAATTTTGGGTTCTGGATTGAAATTTTAGTGAATTCTCACATATATATCTATGCTGGGAGTCAAAAGTAAAAGTACAGTTGAACAAAAGGTCTTGGGTATAAACTTGGTTTTGTTAGAATATATGTATATCTGCCCCTGCATGCTACACAGCAATGTGTATTATATCTTTTTAGGTTCTAGCTCTAATTTTGGTAAAATCTAAAACTGATAAAAGGGAACAACTTTATGAATATTATGGTGGATGTTGAAGGAATACCAGTTTTATTGTAACTGCAGATAAGTTCACAGATGAAGTGGAATCTATTTATCCCAAATCTAGGTGCTTAGAACCTACAAAAGAAGGATTTTTGTTTGGAAATGCGGCAGGAAAATCAATGAAAGAGGCAACAATGGAGGCAATTCATGAGATTAAACACAGAGATATTGGGACAGAAATGACCCCAATTGGCAGCTCTACTACTTCAAGATGCCATACTCCATTCAAAAGCCCATCGCCTGCTCGACACAATACCCCTGCGGACAGATCTGGACCATTGGCCTTACCAAGTTCAGGTTCCGATAGCACAGTTGATATCATGCAATTTCAGGAGTGCCATCTAGCAAAATTGCAGTTTGGGACACAATTTGATTCTGTTACAACCAATTGGAGTTCGAGGGAAGAAGAAGAGGAGGATGTATCGAAGAGTTTGAGACATTTTGAGATAAATAATGAGTGTAGAAAGAGCGTCTCGGAGTCCAAAACACGTTCGTGGGAAGAAGAAGAGAAGAACAAATGCTGTCTCAGGTCAGTGGCCTTTGCACTGTTCATTTCTATTTTCATGTGTACTTGGAGCTTATTAGTTTTAACATTTATTTTGAGTTGTAGGTACCAAAGAGAAGAATCAAAAATTCAGGCTTGGATAAACCTCCAAAATGCAAAAGCAGAAGCTCAATCCAAAAAACTTGAGGTGTTTTATTTTATCCTTTCTTTTAACTTTTGGGCAGTAGGATTTCAATGCTAGAGCTGTTTTCATTACCTTTCATATCCTAAGAATTGTCTACAGGCCATAAAATCCATATTACGCTACTGTCTGTTTTGGCCTAACAAGCCTCACAAATTTGTTACTTGTGCTACGCCAAACGTACCACCTGAACTGTGCTCTGGTCTTATGTAAAACCTCACTTTGCTCCCTTTTTGATGTGAGATTTGCCTAAAGTAGTTTACGCACCTCTTTAGAAGTTAGTCAGTCTAAAACTCTGTCGATCCTTTTCCTTGATTACGCTCTTTAGCATGTTTCCATGAGGGTGTCAAAAGAATATAACTAAATACAGCCTCCAAAGAGTAGCTGTGCAATGTTGACTGGCTGGGAAAAATTTCTGTCTTGTATATAGTATTGATCTACATAGAGCCACTCAGTACTCTTCCATTGTGGTCCAACATGTTTCCTCCTCTTCCCCCTATGTACTGCTTATATTTTTTATCTTTTCACATGCGATGATAGCAGATTAGTCAATATTAATGCATTATTATATTTACATGCATGACAAATTCTTTCTGGAAGTTGCAAACCCATGTGAAGATGGGCACAACAGCTGCATGCAGTAATAAAATTCCTTTGAAATTGGTGTGTCCCCCCCTCCTTTTTGTTCCTAAGAAAATTATAAATGGCCAAATTTAACTTGTGCCATCAGACACTAGAAACATAAGTTATGTTTAAGGATTCTTATACAACAACTCCACACTCAGTGTGGTCCCACAAAGTGAGGAGTGTACGTAGACCTTATCTTCCTCAAAAAATTAGAGAGATTATTTCCGTTAGACCACGGGCTCAACGGTTTAAGGACTCCTATGACTACAATCCTCTTATGGCATAGCATTTTCTTCTGTTCAGGTGAAAATCCAGAAGATGAGATCAAATCTGGAAGAGAAGTTAATGAAAAGGATGGCGATAGTTCACAGAAAAGCTGAAGAATGGAGAACTACAGCTCAACTACGACACAAGGACCAAATAGAAAAAGTGGCTGATCAATCACGGAAGATGATGTTGACAAGGCAAAACTCACATCTATCTGCCCAATCTTCCTGTGGGTGTTTCCCATGCCGAAACCATCTTATTTAATTCGAATCGAGCACCAATGTTCAGTGAGATTCATTCTGTATTCCTATTGAGTTATTACTCAGAAAAAAATCTTAATGCAACACTTTTACGGGCCAACACATCATACTGTGAAGTTCTAGTAGGCGAGTCCAACTGATTGCATGAAACGATGACATTATGAGCTTTGACACTATGATGAAAAATTCGTTACTACATACTATAATGTGGCCTCACTGTGAGAATCCCAGTAAATTTTTACAAAATGGAATGTTCACAAATTGAGATAATGGTTTTGTCGGCTTTGAGGTGCGCTTTAATGAATAGTTGGTGATAGTTCATTTAGCAAACACAAACACAAACTTGCAAAAAAGTGATACTTTGTGTTCTCCGCTCTTTAATCTGGATTATCAATGCATCTACTCATCAAAGTTGGGGGTGCAACAAGTACAACATTTTTGCTTGATATTGCAAAATCTGAAGATCCTTTGTCTTGAATAGGACCACAGTTTTCCGAGGTAGTAGAATTAAGGCCTCCAGTAATCAGACTGTTCAAACTAGCAGATTCTATGTCTTAGCTGGAAAATGAAAATACAAGATGTTGATTGTTTGTCAGCTGTGCTTGTTTTTAATTTAGATTTTAACTTTTATTGTAATCATAAGTTTGATTTGATCTTAAATGTCCTGGGACCACGTTCAACTGCTACCTGGGCATAGCTTCTCATTATAAGCTGTTAAAATTGGTGCAATAATTGTACCTTGCCTTCAATTATCAATGAAAGCAGCACTGAGATTGCAGTTCAAAAGAAGAGCTACTTGGGATTTAGATTGTTAATTTCTCTTATTAAAACTTCCCAAAGAGAATTGCACTAATGCATAACATGACACCACTAAATTTTTAAAAAAAATGCTTACTACATAAGGATTTTCAAATATTTTAATGTGTTGATAGGAAAAGGCCTTAGCTGTGACAAGAGCTTTTTGGGATTCTTGGTCTGCATGGTTTCCAAATTAGACCTGAAGACAAAACACATCCATATGAGGTCTATCTGACAAGCTCTACATTGAGGAAAAAGAGAGGCCCCAAAACAAGAAAACTGAAAAGAAGTATAGTTTGATAGATTTCTGCTGGATACACGACAGTATCATTACAGATTTTATTTATTCACTAGGTAAAAGACCAATTTTTCTTATCTGCAAGTGAATCTTACTCTCTCCTCTCAATTCTTTTTTCCTTTTTCTTATAGTTAAGATCCAATAATCTTTTTTAACTTTCTCTCTGTATAAATTAAAACATACGGAATATTTAATACTAGTTTGATTTAATTTCACTTTTGAATTGCCTTTTTTAAAGCTGCTGGCGTACAAGTACAAGCGGACACTAACCTCTAGTGTAGAAAAATAATTCGAGCCTCCAAATGATCTTTCTTTTTCTTTTTTTTTCAAAATCAAATACTAGCCATTGCTATGTGAATCTTAGCCTAATAATAAGACAAACATAAAAGACACTACCTTTACGCTACACATAAAACGTAATTTACCTTTAATTCTTCTCGCACACACATAAATTGTACTTTCAATATCTTTTAAATTTCTTTTTCAAAGTTAGCACGCCTCTGTCTGATCTTTATTGACGTTTCATAATAATATTATCTAAATTGAAAATCATTATTGAGTTTTATTTAAAGTTGACGTATTACTCCTATTAATTACCAATTTAAGTGACCATTTCGTTTTGAAAACATCTATTAAAAACAAGTTAGGTTTTTATTATATTTAAATTAAATGGAAGTCGATTCTAAGGTGTTGATAAGTTTATTTTGAAAAATTTAATTCTCCAAGGAATTCATAAATATTCACGTCTAGATTAGAATTTAGATATGCAACATATTCAAGGAGCCAAGGAGGAAATTCTTATTTAAGTAGATCAGAGAATAGTTACAAATTTACATCACATTGATCATCTAGAAGGAGAAAAATAGATATCAGGTCAAATACAAATAAGATTAAAATCGTACCAGTTTTCACTTTTCACTACTGAAGTATGATTTGTTTTAGTGAAGATAAAAAATAAAACAAAGCTTACCAGATGTTCTTATTCAAAATTCTTTATAATAGAATGCCCAGATACTTTAGCCACGAAATTCATCCATGAACTGCTTATGGAATTGTGTAAAACGAGATGCAATAGCTGGTATCTTCTCTTCTTGCGGTAATATTGTGCACCTAAAATGCCACGTTCCAGGACGCTTCATAGAAGCAACAAGTAAATACAAATTTAGTCGAATCCAACAATATAATTCTAAAGAAACATAAGTGTCGAAAAATTCCCCCTAGTTCTCAACACATGCAATCAACAGATTTCTTCTTCGCTACTTGTGCTTTTGCACCAAAAATCTAATTAATTGCCCAATTTTTCTTTCCGCAAAATTAAATTCTTTTGAGGTAGAGAGATTCAAAGTGTTCGGGAAATGCTTATTAATGTTCAATGTTCCCGGCTACATTTTTTTTTAAATGAGCGATAACAGTTACAGACCATATTGACAGAGTATGCCTTGACTATCAGTAACAATATATATATATAAGTGGAATGAGGAAGCAAGTGGGCAAAAATATAACAATCACCTGGCCAAATCCAGAGCCTGAGACAATGACAATTCCAGTGGCATTAAGGAGACGCCAAGCATAAAAGGCATCTGGTGCAGTTTTAGCTTCTTCTGCTGCTTTTATTGCTTTGTCAGGTAAGTTAATACGTGGAAATGAATACAATGCACCTTCTGCTTTATAGCATGTGACTCCCTCCAAACTATTGAATGCGTCTTCCAGTATCTGTTGACGAAGTTGTCGGTTTTAGAAACTGCATCAATTGGAAATTCACCAGAAGGAAGCTTACATGACTCTAATGAAAAATAAAATCATTTTTCGGAAAGCTGAAATGAAAATTAAGCAAAAAAACGGTCTGGGACAATTTTTCTGGAGAAAATTTTTGCCTACTATTTTGAGCACCTCTACTATTCAAATCTAACGTTCATGATCCTAAAACAACTTCAACCACTTCAGCAAAATAAACTAAAAGTTTATTTTGGCAATCCCAGTCTTATATGCTAATTCTACTGACCTTTGCACGCCTTGCCAATGATGAGAGTATTGCTTCTTTCTCAGCAGAATAAGACTCGTATGACTCATCACCCACCTGAATAAATCAACAGAGCAGTGCTGATAGTTAGGCATCTATAACACAGACAAAGCCACAGAGGGGGCTCACATCAAAGCTTCAAAGTTTACAGTTCACAATCAGAGCTGAATTTATGTCGCCCTAGTGACATCATATTTTATCTTCCCACATAAAAAAGTGTGATACCTACAAAATTTGATAAAATGTTCCAGCAATCTCAACTCATTGAAGCAATTACTTTATCAAACTAATTCGACATTTAGACCATGAGATCACCAGATTTAGGATGAACCTACAACACTCATCTGGGAATTTTAGGCAATGGGGGATTATTATCCATTGGGTAACGGGAGAATTCTTATCCAGGATAAGGGGAAACATTCCCTCCGAGTCTGAGGACTTGGCCTTCTTTGATATAATCCTTCCCCTTTTCTTTCTCTTCTTCCTCCTCGAAAGCCTAGCGAAAAAACAGTTACCTGTGTATTTTAGGTCTATTTCATCCTCTTTTAACACATTCAATCATCATGGTTTCACAACTCCAGCGTCTGGACTGATGCATCTGGAGGTCAATATAGGACATGACCAATCCATCTCATGCAATGTTATTACCCTCATACCAAAATTACTACTATATGAATGACTCGGATTCTACTAGACCAAATAAGCAGAAAGTCATTGAGGTAACATTCTGGGAATGCAATAACTGCTAATTCCCAATTATTGAATTGACGGTGGAGACCCCACTCCTTCTTAACAACTCCGCCTTAAACCCAAACTTGTTGGGGTCGGCTATATGAATCCTCAATATCCATTTCACTCCTTTTGGACATGCCATTACCAAACTTTGGAGGGCTCATGATGAGGCTTGCAAGAATCTGACCAGAAATGTTGGAACAAAGATTGACAGATGCCACTTTGTATATCTGTTCCCTGATCTCAGGACTAAATCCAGTGAACTCCATGTAGCCTCCTCGCTTTCCACACTCGCCATAGTATCCTAAAACCAGTAAAAAAGTTAGCAATAAACAATTCAGGATTATGCTGAAGAATTACTAAGCATTATGTCAATAACAACAAGGGACTGATTGATAACTCAACAAAGAAGCACATTGTAGCATACAGTAGTTTCAACACTGCATTTCACTGATTTCAAATGAATGACGGAAAAATCCAGTCAATTTAAATGAGGAATGGATAGATTGATGAATTAATAGTGAACCACATATAACATAACAAGACTACATTGCACTGATCTCAAAGAACAACAAACGTGATAGCCACTTGCATTTACTTCAAAACACCAAGAAATATGATCACATTTAGAGGCTAAAAAACTGTAAGATAAAAAACATATGAATTAGGTGGCAAAATAAATAGAGACGTCAATCACCTCAAAAAAAATCAGAATCAATATACTTAGAGAGCTTCCCTATTATCACAACCTTCCATACCCTATTTGTTTTCTAGCATAAAGTCATATTTTTCATTTTTTTTTCAAGCCTCTAGAACATTATATGTATATTTGACATGAAAAAACTTGACTACTCTAGTACATTTGATCTGACAGCATGGGATTTGTGATCATAATGGGGATGCTGCCCATCAGCCCATGGGGGACTTGTATGTTCTACTTGTGCACTGGGAATTCTGTGAATAATGGATGATGGGGAACTTCCAATGTGTGTGAAGAAGGAATGCAGCATTAGTACCTTACAAAACATTTGATCTTTCATAAAAAAGACAAATATTATAAACTTTCCAACTAGCTTTTCCTTTTCCTTTCTCAACTGAATGGCTACAAACATATCATCCTACGTTGACGGCTCACTTTCATCCTCGTTGTTCACGTTTCCTCACTTGCAAAGATTACAGTAATAATCACTTGATTTTATAAGTTGGACATTTGAAATAAAGAATACATTCATTTAACTTTGAATCTTACTCCTGCAAATTATTCACTATACGATATTAGGATAAAAGATTCCATCACTAGTAGCAGGAGATTTAACCATACAATTAGAAAAATACAGGGGGAAACATTTGTTTTATGGAAACTAGTCATGTCAATTCCAGATAGACATTAGACACCTATGAAACCGTAGGTACATGATCTGTTTCATTGAACTACAAGGTGCACCAAGGTTGATAAACAAACTTCATACCTGAACAGAGCTTTTGTTTCACTTCTGTCCAAAAGAAGTGGATGGTCACATAACGCAAGGACCTAATAAAGAAAGCTCCTTAGAAATCATTCTATTGAGATTAAAAAAAGGAAAACAGAATCTAGAGTCAAACAATTTATTCCCACCTCCCTAAAGAAAGTAATAGGCTTCTGACCCAGGGAATGAGGATTCCCAATATTGCAGTATAAGATCTACATGAATTAGAGAATATTACAGAAAATGACTAGACGACTAGCAAAGCTCAAAATTTACTTATATTGAACTTTGTTAGAATAATTCCTTAAGATATGCATTATTAAAACTATAATGGAAACAAAAAACAAAGTCTACAAGAGCTGTTACCTCATTAAACGGATGAGAGCCTGGATTCTCCGTGAGGTCTTGTTGTAATATCTGCTGTTACCTCATTAAACGGATGAGAGCCTGGATTCTCCGTGAGGTTGTTGTAATATCTGTATCACAAAGAACACCATCAATACATCGGGAGCGGACCCATGTGTGTTCCGGGGATTCACCCGAACCCCCTCGGTATAAATAAGGTAAATTTTCTATATATATATTACTATATAAGAAGAGTGAATAAATTCACTCCTTTTTCGACACGTGGCACCAAAAAAAAGGAGAGGGTTGAACATAAGTGTGAATGTGAGGGTATTTTGGGTATTTAAAAATACCCTCACATTCACACTTATCTACTAAAAAAATATTACTATATAATATATATAATGTATAATGTAAGTACTAGATAAGTGTGAAAGTGAGGGTATTTTGGGTATTTAAAAATACCCTCACATTCACACTTATCTACTAAAAAATATATATATAAGTAGTAGATTTAAATATATTTAAAAATAATATAAGTAATACTATACTTAGTATGCTTAAAAATAGTAAAAACTACATAAAAAGTACTACATATCATATTACAATAATTAACAATTATTTGACACTTTCAATTCTATCAATGCCATATAAATTAGGATAAAAAAGGTAACATTTATATTCAAAAATAATATAAGTAATACTATACATTACAATAATTAATAGCTTAAATATTTAAAAGTTATATAAAAAATTTAATTGACTCTCTAAATTCTATTGCTACCACATAAAATGGATTATATGATAAACATATATTGTTTGAAATTGACGAAAAATAAACTATAAATTACAATATTAACAAAAAAAATTGTCGGCTCCAAAAAATCTATCAATTAAGAACATATATTGTTTCAAATTGACGAAAAAGAAACTATAAATTACAATAATTAACAAAAAAATTCTCTCGACTCCAACAAATCTATCAATTAATGCCACATAAATTGGGACATGGAAAATAACATATATTCTTTAAAAATTAAGTTCAAAATGTACTATAAAATACAATAATTAACAACTTAATATAGTAAAGAGACATATAAAAAATGGTTAATATTTGAAATTTTGCATGTGCCACATAAATTAGAACAAAGAGAGTAATAAATATTATTTTCAAAATTCTGTAAAAAAAAGGTACTACAAATCACAATAGCTAACAATTTAAAATATTTTTAGAATCATATAAAAATTTCAATAACTTCTCAAATTTCATAATATATATGACATAAGAAGAGGGAATAACCAATATATTTATAAAAAGAAATGACATATAAAATGAAATGGACAGAGTATTAGTTTTTGAAAATGGAAAAGGACAAAACACATATAAAATTAAAAGACATATAAAAAAAAATTGGTTTAACTCTCAAACATAAAAAGTAACATATGTTATTAAAAACTTTAATAAAAAGTACTATAATTTACAATAAATAATAACTTAAAATATCTACAAGACAACAAAAAAAAACTAATTTTTGTACTGCTTGTGTCACATAAATTAGGATTGGGATGATTTTAAAATTTTAATTTTGGTTATACATTATAAAATAGCCGAAAAATTGAATGATATAATTTTTTTTAAAATAACCGAATGAATCGTCCTATCGATAACCCTAATGTTACTTCTACTCTGTTTATTTTTACTTAAATTTAGAAAGATATGTTTCATTTCTACCCTCAATCTTATCGGTACATTTATTTGCTATTTGAAATTGAAATTAAAAAGACAAATGACAAATGGCAAATAAGTTTTTATATTAGCTCACTTATGAGCAAAATATATTATAACAATCTTTACTAATTTTATAACAATACATAAACTATACTCTCTCCGTCCCATATTAGATGGGCACTTCCAACTTTACACGGTGATTAAGAAATCATTAATACATTGGAAGACTTCACCATTTTACCCTTTGTTTATATCAATGCACATTGAAATGAGTTACAAAAAATACACATACAATATAGGAATGGTCATATTAATTGTAGGGTAAAATGGAAAAGAATTAATTAATTCTATCCTAATTTAATAAGTGCTCAAATAATATGGAAAAAAAATTTGTAGTAAGATTCTCATCTAATATGGGACGGAGAGAGTAACAATATAACTTTATTAATGTTGGGCCCGGGCAGCGCCCGGGCTTTCTTTACTAGTATATATATATATATATATATATATATAAATATATTAATTTTGAACCCCTCATGAATCTGAATTAAGTTGTAGCAGTGGTAGATTTCCTTTTAATTTGACCCTAGCGTCCAGGGTTGTTCAAGCCCCACTGTGAACCTTTTTTTTTAGCTTCTCTTCCTTTAGTTTCAAGACCAATTTCACCCTTTTTTTAAAAAAAAATGTGTGAAAAGAGTAGATTTAAACCCTAAAAAATCCAAACGTGCTAGAAAGTCTCCCGTAACGGAACTAACTTTTGGTACCAATAAACTATATACTACTTCTTCCTTGGAATTGTGTTTTGTTGGCTTATTTATACATTTATACTTTTATTTTTTTCGAACCCCTAACACTACTATTTCCTTGAAATTGTGTTTTGTTGACTTATTTATATGTTTATATTTTATTTTTTTCGAACCCCTGAATGAAAATCTTGGATCCAGCCCTGTTATACATAGTAGATGTTTTTTTTAGGATTTGTAAGATAAATAAGGTAGCATTTGTTCCAAAAAATGGTGGAAATCCCCCCATATGTTTATACTTTTATTTTTTTCGAACCCCTGAATGAAAATTCTGGATCCAATCCTGTTAAACATAGTAGATGTTTTTTTAGGATTTGTAAGATAAATAAGCTAGCATTTGTTCCAAAAAAAACGGTGGAACCCCGCCCCCCCCCCCCAAAAAAAAAAGAAGCTGAAAACCAACTTTCAACCAAAATAAGCTGAAATTAGAGTGACATTGGCAGGCAGCTAGTGCAAAATTGAGCTTGGGAGCTACCTGAGCATTGCTGACAATTTCTCCGCGGATAGCATATGCATATTTCAAAACCTGAAACAAATAAACAACTACCTGAGCTTAGTTCCCGTTTGTCCACTCACTCAAAAAACGGTGTTCGATTTTTCGAAAGAAATGTAGAAGATGAGTTTCGAAATTTAAAAATTAGTTTTGACCCGTTTATGTTCTTTTTTTTTTTTGGTCAATCACAAATTTTCAAATATCACATTTTTTATGTCTTGTACTAGATGACGTGATTGGACCATGTAGTGGAAGTCAAAAGGGCAAAAAATACCTTTGGATTAAGGTGGTTAAGGGTGATAGGAGAGGATGAATAATAGGAAGCCATAGAAGGAGGAGATCATGGTGAAGAGTGGAGAATAAAAGGGAAGAGGATGTAACGGTGATGAGGAAGAGGTGCGGTGCTGCAATTGGAGACGAACAGGTGGTATGGTATTGCTGATGAGAGTATTTCTGGCTTTGACACCTATCAATCTCTTTGTTTCTCTCTACGTAATATGAGAAACCGTGATTTGTGAGGTACTAGTATTTATCCTAAGTTGTATAAATATATATATGTTATACAATTTTTTAGCACTTAAATCTTTTGGCGTTTTCACTTTATTCTAAAGGTTTATTAAGCATTTACCGTTAAGTTGATGTTATAATTCCATTTTAATTGATATTGCTATTAAGAACCTACTTACATTCAATAAAGGATTATCCAATTGTAGAGTGCGTATTGAAATTTCTTTTTTTCATTCATGTGCTGTGGTTGGAAATATAAAAGTGTATGAATTAGGTGCACATGGCAAGTCCAAACCCTACGACAAATAAGAACTCTACATTTAAGTGGAAAACGAAGGGGAAAAAAACCTATCCGCCATAAACCATTAAATTTCTCGGCAATCAGAACAAAAAAAGGAAACCCAGTCTTCTCTAAACCCACGCTCTTATGACTAATGCCATGCTGCATATGCAACCAGAATCATCAGACTAGATACGGAGGGTCAATAAAAACGAGGTTATAACATGCCCAGTGGTGATATAAAACTGAATATTACTAGATGGAAGTAAAAAACACTGGCTGCGTTATAAGCTAAGATTGCAAAAAGACCAAGACATTTAAATTTCAATTAACCATATGTCGACTTTGGCTAAAGCTTTACCTGTTTGGCATACAAAACAATTCTCACATTGATCATCTAGGAGAGAGGATCAATGTCAAGTCAAATACAAATAAGATTAGAATAAACAATCCCCAACTTGTATGTGCCAAACAATCCTATATCAGCTTTCACTACTGAAACGTAATTGTTTTTGGTGAGAACGGAAATAAAACATACAAAGATGGCTTATTAAAAATTCTCTATAATCAGTCTCCAATAGAATGTACTCCCAGACTCCTTAGCCGCGGAATTCATCCATGAACTGCTTATGGAATTCTGTAAGACGAGATACAATAGCTGGTATCTTTTCTTCTTGCGGTAATATTGTGCACCTAAAATGCCACGTTCCAGGACGCTTCATGGATGTAACAAATAAAAACAGATTTAGTCAAAACAAGCAGTTCCCAATAACCAGTAGTGTAACAAATACCCCTTAGTTCTCAAATTAAAACATCAAGAAATTTTAACATCTACCAGGACCCAGGTATGCAAACTAATCCGTGTCTTGATAAAAGGAACGTTTCTCAAATAAAACAAACCTTGACTGCAGAAACAGTTGTTGTTTATTGAAAAAAATCCTCCAAATTTGTTTTGCCCGATTTCTTTTCACAGTTCATTTTTCATTGAACCCTTCCGAAGGTAAAGAATCTTTTTTTCTTTCTGAAGGTAAAGATACTAAAATTGTTCAGGAAATGCTTATTAAGTTGTTTGTTGATGTTTAATCAATCTCGGTGACACCGTGTGAATTTATAAAATTAGAGGTCAACCTCTCTAGTAAGGGTAAGGTTTGAAATTTTCCGTACACTCTACCCTCCCATACTTCAATTATGGGACTACACTAGGTATGTTGTTGTAGTGATGATAGTTACCAACCATATTAAAACTAGGAATATCATGATGCAAGTGGTGAAAAATATAACAATCACCTGGCCAAATCCAGAGCCT